GGTAAAGGCAGTGTACAATTTACAATTTGAATACAGGCAAGCAAACTAAGTCTGTTTCTTGAAAGGGATTTTGAAACCTGCCCTCCTTCCTGCTGCTGTTGCAGTTGAAAGGAAAAGGTGTTGGCTCACTCATCAACAGTTGATTTTACTCTGGTTTTTACTCATCTAAAAACATCCACCTCAAGTTGTTTAATTTTGTACTCACGCCTTACATTTTATTTCCAACAAAAACAGAGCAATTTTGCTTTATCTCTCCCAGCAAATTATGTTGTTTTATTTCTTCATATTATTATTTTTGACTAATTTTGAAACAGTCAGGTCCCCTTATTTTTGCATAAAAACAAGCTGAATTATTTCAGTCGGATGACTTTTTGACCCCACTCAGATTTTCATGCACTTGGAGCCTCAGACAGCAGAAGCATCAAACAGCATAGTGACTCTTATGTTGACAGAAATTAAACTTTACTTTTCTCACACACAACTCCCTCATGCTCATACATGCAAAGTTGCGCAAAGATAGTAGAAGCGGGAAGCTCACAGATTTCCAAATTATGTTGCCTTTCATGATATGTTTGATAATCACTGAAAACCTACAACTGCAATAAACCTATTTTAATATTTTCAATTTCAATTTTAGTAACTGCAAAAAAATAATAATGACCAATTAGGGTAGTAATTTTTTTTTAAATCCACTTTTCCCTAAAGATTGTTTAAATGTACATGCAACAAAATATCAAAGACCTTTCTTTTGGTTTTTATTAACCTAGTGATTCATCTGGACACTACCTCATGGGCACCAGCTACCTGCCTCTTTGTCTTCAACTCATGTTCTCTATATGACACCTTTCTCCTGACAATCAGAGAAAAGTATGTAAGATGCCATAAACAAGTGCAAGAACACATGCAAAGCCATATGCAAGGTGGGGTTGAGATTGAGAAATCACCCTCAACTTCTTGTCATACACATCCTTCACCACTTCATCACTTGAGAATTAAACTGAGAAATGGTTCCTGTAGGGGAAAAAAACACATTTAAGTGTTTATTGCACTATCCTGTACTCACCACCGCTTTACTGTACTGGTCAGGCACTGCTGATGTGCTTCCCGTTAAGGTCAAAATCATCCACACCAGGATACCCAACTCCATTCCAGCCGCTGCAAAAAAACGCTCCATTAATATCAGAACACGTATTATTTGGACATTTGTCGTTCCTAACCGCAGCAGCTTCCCCCAAACCACCCATAGCCAAGAGAACAAAGCTCACCGTTGTTTCTCCTCCGAAGCTTTAGCCTCTCTTGAGACTAGGCTGGGCTGATCGATCAGTTGACTCTGTCTCTGCCCTCTCTCACCAACCGACAGGAAGTCGTTGGTTTTGGCTTTTCTTGATCCAACTGTAGCGCGCGTAGCGAGCGTTGCTTCAGGAAGTATACAGATTTGAAGGTGAAATGACGCAAAATCTCTGATGCCACAGTGAAAAGACCATATTAAACACTTATCACAGCAACAATCAGTTTCTCCTCCATCATCTTGCTTTATCTCTAAATTAAACTAAACTAAATTAAAACCTAACGTTAATTTGAGTCCAGTTTCTGATATGCTGCCCTCTAAAAGGGTTTATAGCCTGTAACTAATGACTTAGTTATTAATAAATTACTAATGCTTTTTAGATCAGTTATATATATATCAGTTATTCTTACAGTGATCCATAAAATCAGCATTTGTAAATATGAATCAGTTTTTAAATAATGAATGATGAATAAATGGTCCATGTGTTCTGACGCCCTGTTCCAGTGAGTAAGTGGCCCAACCATGTATTGGATGGATCTTCATGATGCAGGGTTGACCGTTAAATCTTCCCAGCATGGCTGGGACCATGGACAAATAATTGTTGTTGGGGCCCTGTTGCCTTCAAATTCCAATCAAGTACAGTACACAGCACCCTGTAGGTGGTACCATCCCTATATTCGAGACCAGAGAGCAACCAGTAGGCCACTCCTATATTGGAAAAAGCACCAGGTGAACACTGTATAAACGAAACTGATAAAGTTGTTAGAACCAGATTATGACAAACATACGCAACATTAAGTAAAATGCAGGACCCAGTTGAATGTGTTTTAGCCAAATTCACACACAAATTTGCAATAGCAAAGAGCAACTGATGCACAGTGAACTTGCCCAGAATTCCCCCCCCCCCCCCCCCCCCCCCACGCTGCGTGGTCGAGGTGAGGATTGATAGCAAAGTTTCTCATAGTGTGAAAAAAAACTTGTGTCTGTAGTGCAGTGAGTGGGTAATGGGAGAGCTACTGATTTAACAGCTGTCACTTTGTGAAACCATGTAGATGTGTGTTCTGGCATAACAGGGCCACTGTGCTGCTTGTCATCATGGAAACAGATTATCAGATGTTTATTTCAGCTTCAGTAATATCGGCTGCCTTCCCTTAGACACACAGCTCCGCTGCTAACCGGAGCAAATGTCTTGTGACTGTTGATAGGCTATTATTTGCAACTTGTGACCAATCAGAAAGTGCTGTGGGCGGTACATTGCGCAAGACAATAGAGTGGTGATTACCAACAAACAGCACCCTGCCTGTACCTTTATTTTAAAACAACTCTCTTAAAAGAAGTTTTTACTAAACAGACTTGGCAATGCTGGTGAAAAACCAGAGCAGTAAAATGAGTTCTCCCCTCAGTGCATTTCAGTGAATTGGATGTTATATCCAGCCCGCAGGCTGGTCAACTCAAAAAGAAGCCTGTGAAATAAAAATTATGTTGTAATAATATTACCTTGAAAAAATACATTTTCTTAATGTCATGTTCATTAGAAATGAGCCTAATTCAAGACATAATTTCAATTAAAATGTTTGCCAATTGTAAAGATTAAAAGTAAATTGAATACATCACTATTAGCACGATTATGCTACAATGATTATGTTTGTGTTCATTATTAATGTTTCCATTTAAACTCTGATTTTGGCATAATTGGGATTTTCTTTCCTATACATTTTTTAAACATGACAATGAAAAAGAAAAAATGATTTTTTTTATTTCGTCATCACCCACAAATTCGAAAATTAAATTTCAATTTGATTAGAGAAATTTCATTTTATTATTGGCCCTCCTCGACTTCCATATATTTCATAATGAGGGGGAAAAAAGTGAATCTACAACAATATCAGTCAAATTTACTTTGAAAATTCAAATAAATTACAGAAAGAACTATTTTGCCCATATTTTCTAACACAAAGTGGGCCTACTTAAATTGCACTTAAGAGATATTGATGACGCTGCATTAAAATGGAGTGCACCAGCATCTCACATCTCATCCCATTATGTCCGTGGGTCTGCGCGTTCAAGCTCTCTACAAAGCATCACTGGTATTATCTTTCCCTCTCCCTCCCCCTCTTCCTCCTCTCCTATCTTTAATTTCTGTCCAACCTCCAGGGCCCAAGTGAGTCATGCCATTAGCACAGAATGCTGCCTTGCTAATGGTTGGCCAGTTTCCGTCATGTCCACTTCATGTCGCTGCACCAGAGGAAAACATGAAAGTCTTTTAACTGCTTAGCTTTAAGTAGTGGTGCTCATGACAGGCACCCCATTCATGCTGTTGTCTCTTTGAAGTGTTGGATGGTCTTATTCCTCCTCACTGAACCACAGATGCAGCTGGGGCCTGCTTCAGAAAGCCGGTTTTACAAGCTCACTGTGAAACTGAGTTTACACTACATACACTTTATGATTTGCATGCTTATCAGGTTTGCAACTTGTTGTTTGTTGGTTTTAACATTGTGCCAAGCATTTACAGTCCATGGGGGACTTCTTCACGTTCTGCTAGCTGTGTGTGCGCTGAAAACAAATCTGGTGTTTGTACTTAGTGAGCGGGAGCAGCAGTCAGTGTTGTTTTATCTGTTGTTGTGATGTTATCTATAGTAGCAGGAAACATGAATATTGCTGTCTGGAGCTGGTGTGCTGGCTATCGGAAACTGTCTTTTTCTCTTCTCTACATGTTAGCTTCACAGCAGCAACATTTGCATAAGGTCTATCAACACAAAGACCTCAAAACACAAGTTCGCCAGCAACATTGCAAGTATTTGTATTAATGCATAATTGAAATGGTATGCTAGATCTTCTGTCACTTTAGGTTTGTATAAAGTACCGAAGGGAGGGGTGTACTCCAGAATCTCCTACCCCACCTTTAATCCTGAACAAATAAGATATCTTAAAGCTGCATTAATTGTTTTGGCCACTTGGGAGCAGCAAAAGCAAGCTGTAAATATAACATTCACATACAGTATCATCGCCCTATCAAGTTGATATGGAAAACTTGTTAGCAAACAGTTACCCAGCAACATTAGCATTCATTGAGTTGTGTTTCTGTCCACCTGATTAATACAAGCCAAATATTCACTTTCTTTAACTGCATTTTGCTCTACATCAACTCCTGAAAGAAATATCTGGCTCTTCAGCTGCTAAATGCTTCACTATTTTCACCAGCTAGTCACTAACGGGGAGTGTACAGTGGGCATTTAGAGCTTATACACTAAAAACAGCTGTCTGCGACTGTAACAGTGCTGATGACCACAGTGAGGAAGATTAAACGGTAAAGTTGGGTGATACTCCTTTATCACTATGAGCAACCCCTTTCAAATACACTTAGTCATGTGATCCATTGTTGATATAAAAATATTGATTATAGCAGCTTTAAATAAACCCTAACAACTTATCACATTGTGTCACCATGACAGTCACCATGATGATGGTGATGATCTTCAGTTTAAAAAGGATTTAATTGACACCAAACATTATTTTTACTCATCATATTGAATTTGCCAAAAAGAAAATTAATTAAAAAAATTATTTTATTTGGATAATAGTGATGAGTTTGTAAGAATCATATTTGTCAAACATCAATTCATTCTGTCATGTTAAATTATGAACTTTTTTAAAATCTTGAACCACACGTAAGAAAAAATGTAATACAACATCAGAAATAAAGACCTTTGAATTTATATTCATTAAACACAGATTTATTTTCATTAAAGGGATCCAAGGCCTTCACAAAAGGGTTGACTCTTGGTAGCTATACAGTACTAACACAACACACAACAACAACAGAAACAACACAGAGGACTTATGTGAACGAGTGAAAAGACAAATAAATAAGAGCTGAAAGACATTTCATATGAATTTAAACTGAGATGCATCAACAAAACCGATAGTCAGAGGAAAGTGAGCAGAGGTTAAAACCTTGTAAAGTACAGTAACGCTTTTGTACAATATTTGATTCATTTCTGCAAGTAGCTGATTGTCTATAGCGGCTTATTTTGGTCATGCACAGTTGATAAAGTCATTTCTACTGTATGGACAGTGTTGCAATAATTTCACAGTTTATCCTTAGTTAATATCTACCTCCAGCTTTGATTGTCGGTCTCGCAAGAGTTTGCAGCTGATAGTTTGAAGGTGGACTCTTTTTTTTTTAATTTGCTGTGTAATGACGCGTGATTGTCACTGCCTGATAGTGATATACAAAATGTTCCCTGCCAATCCAAGTACGTATCACTGCTAATTTTGTTATGGCTCTGGTAAAACATTATGTACTCATATATATATATATATATATATAACAAAAAGAAAATTGCTTTACTGTAGTTTTTGGCACAAATCTGTGATACCTATAAATATTTAATATTTTAATGTTTAGCTTAGTATCAGACAATATCTGATACCAGTATTGATATGGTGCCTCCCTAATAATTTATCTTAGCAAATGAAATTTGTGCTTTGAGGATGATTTGAGTCCACAACGTGCTACATTCTTCCCTCCAATAATATCTGACAATATTCCACAGTAATCTTCATCATACACAGATATCTGTACAAAAATATGCAGTATCAGTATTAGTGTAATGTTGCTGGCAGGGTAGTTAGTATTTACTTTTTTTATGGTATGTTTTTTTAGTTTTAGTAAAAGTGATTGCCATAAGCAAGTCTAAAATCTTCACAGTACCCTCACACAGCTTATGCTTAGGGAAGAAGCTCGCTATCACAATATCATTGAGCTGCTCAAGTAACAAGAAACTGAGGTTACACTTCACAATTCAAACATCTGCTGGCATTTACTTAGTACCACTGAATGACTTTTCAGAGCATTTCTGTATGATAGAGTTGTAATTATAACCCAGCAATTTTCTAAGCAAGTATGAGCAAACATCTTCCAATTTTGATATTTCAAAACTACAATTCATGCACCTGTTTTTGTTATTTATTTTTAAATAAACTTGGTAGACATTTAAGTGTATGGGCTGAGAGCTCATGGTAATTTCAGATCAACTTCCAAAAATTCAAACCTCAAAAGCAGTCTTCTGACACCTCTTATGTATAACATTATGTATAATGTCAAAGCTCAAAAGTCCACTTACAGGCTTTTTAAACCTTTCAACCAAATCTCTGTGTATTACAGCTTTGTGTAATAAAAAGTCCATTTTCTTTTCCCCTGGTTGTTTATTTCTTTTGGCTCATGAAACCGTCAGTCTAAGTAAAAGCCAAATTGTTCCACACAATAAAATATGTTAACACTTTTGAGAGGAACAATTCTCCGCAGAGAGCAACCTAAACCCTAACTTTAGCCTGATCTTGACTTTAATTTAATCATAAATACACCTCAAACTGATGATTAACTACCCCCCACCCTCCACTCCCTACCTCCAAAAAAAATCTGATAGTACAAAGAAAATACCAGCATGACTAGAGTACTGTCAAGCACAACCAAAGCTGCTCTTGGCTGAATTTGTAAACATTTAATGCATGTCAGGGGGCTGCAACTCATTGAGGCCCCATTGAGGCCCCTCTATAGCGCAGTCCTGTGCTTCCTAAAAACCTGTGTGTCCCCATGTTGTTTTCTTGACACTTTTTGTTACATGCCCTTTTTCCCCCTTCTTCTTTTGTGTTGCCGGTTTGGCAGCGATTGTCTGTTGTTCACTGTAATCTGGCCCAGTACTGACCCAGGTTATGACTCATGCCCTGCTGCTCGGTCCCTGGAACCTGGACCGGCACTGAAACGCCGGGCGATATGAGCCCTGAATGGACGAGAGGGAGAAGAAACATAGAGAGTTAGTCTGTGGGGTGTCATTTACCGTGCATCAGGGACAACAGAAAGACATAATGTAAGTGTCTCTGTCCCTGTTAAATGAACCAATGTCTACCTCAGAAACACTCACCGGTGTTGGAGTTGGCCGAGGGCGGAGTCTGCAGGTGAGGGGAGGAGTATGCCGATGAGTCAAAGCTGCGCGGAGCAGAGGGAGATGGAGGTAACATGCAGGAGTAGGAGGAAGCCGACTGGGGGGGAATAGACTGAAACGTAACACAAATATGGTGGAGGCGTGAGGGAGAAGAATAATTTGGGTTAGATTTATATTAATACAACAAAAAATACCATTTTATGTAAGAAAACTTATTTTTAAAGTTGCATATAGCCATTGCTGTACATTACACCATGTACTGTAATGGCAGCAGGGTTTCTGTTTAACCACATGGAGGTGCTAGAGCAGTGTTGTATGGAAGGAGTAAAGCACAGCTAGAGCAACGGCACTCCACATTTTTTGTATTACAAATGCAAAATGATGTCACTTAAATCCTGGTCTTTATGCTTAGCTTGTTCTGCCTCCTATTCTTTTATTGACACTGTCATTTTAAATTGTTGTTTTTTACTATTACTACTATTACTATTGTGTGTGGACACCTGGGAGACTACCAATAACATTGAGGAAGCTAATGGGTATTCAAACTAAGAATAAAGGATCGCTAAAACAAGAAATATATTAATTTTATTTAATGCACAAGTGTTACATAATATTTTCTGTATAAGTCACGGCATGCAGGCTTTTCAATTTGTTTAATTTATTGGTTTGTGCATTCATGGAAGAAGAAAGGAGTCGAGCAAGTATCTTAACATACATGTAAAACAAGAAACAAAACAATGAGTGTATTATCATGCTGCTGTTGAGGCTGGAATGATAATTTGGTACAATCAAAGCAATGTGAATGATAAGCTTTGTGTGTTTTGTCCCTAACAAAGTCCCTAACACAGAAAAAATCTCAGTGAGCCCAGTGATTGCTTCTGCTTGACAAACATTTATTGCTAAAGACGGTGTTCTAAGTATAATAATAATAATAATAATAATAATAATAATAATAGTTGTTGTTGTTATTAACATATTATATTAACAGCAATATTAAGTTTTGAAAATAATAATACACTATGTTATTATTAATTTCTAAGTAGTAGTCAGCAATATTAGTAATATTAGTAGTTTTTGGGTTTTTTTCGCCTTTATTTTCATTATCCTATGTTTTATACCCTTGACGTAAAGGAGTTATGCTGTGAGACGATGACCTGCTTTGGAAAAGTTTAGAAGGTGCTGATGAATGATGAATAATGAATCTCCAACCTGGACTCCAGATGAGAAAACTGACAGGGAGCTGTAGCTGGGCAGGGACGACTCAGCCTGACTCAACATGGACCCTGGAGAGAGACAAGCAGAGCGAGATGGTAAGCACACACACATTTTAACACGTGTGATGGAACGTCTCGCAGTTGAAATGTTGTAATATAGATGCGCTCTAATGGAGAAACTCTAATGGTTTGCCTCCTTGCAAATGTCAAGCAGGGGAGCTCTGAGGTTTGTAATTATACACTGGTTACATATTAGATTAAGTTAAATATATAAATCATAGAAAACAAATGTAAACTCTTGCTTTAGGCATCACTGATCATCGCTGTATGAATGAGCCAGAAAACACATACACGGCTTCTTGCATTGTAGCGCCCTGGTGTTTACCTGAACTGCTGCCGTGCTGTTGATGATAGACAGATGTGTTGAAGGAAGTAGTCAGAGGGGCTTGGCTCTGTGAACAGGAAGTCACACCCCCTGACCTCCTTTGATTGCGCAGCTTCTCCTCTCTCCTCCACTTGGCTCTTCGGTTTGAGAACCACACCTGTCAATCAAACAGTTCTCTTTATCACATGGGGATATATATATTTATAGACTACTGCATGTTGTTACAGGTGGAGCATCAGGGTATAAAAAATTCCCTCACCTGTATCCGGGCCTCTGGTAAATCGATCTTGTTTGCCAATCTCTCCCTCGCAAAGACATCTGGATAATGTGTCCTTTCAAACTCTGTGGAAGATATTAAGTAATGTCAAACACACAGTGTGAGTCTTAATCAAAGACGACAGGACTACTGGAGAGCAGCTCGCCTGATAGCCCTTGCTGTGCAGTGCGAACATATTTTGCATTCATCTGTGGATCTGTCTTTTTATGTGAAAGGAGAATTCAAGATTTACATAGATTCAAATGAAAATTAATTTTAATCACCTGTTAATTATCTGATTATTTTGACAGGTATTAACCGCCACATCAGGTAATTGCTGCTTAAGATCAGCATCTCTAATTATCTTGCCATGTGATATACAAATCCAGGAAGCTGAGATATATCGTTACAACCATATTTGAAATATTTATCTGTGCACTTTGTATAAATTATTTATCATTATGGAACACGCAGAAAGTTCAAATGAAAGGATTCAAGTTGAGACGCTGCCTAAGCACTTAGGCTGACTAAAACTAAAATGAAAGACATTTCCCTATAGGTTTTGTTCAGTCATAATTCATAATTCAATCTCTCAATTCTCATTTATTAGCATTTTATTAAAATGATCAGTATCACTATCTGATATACTGACTTACAGCATATAACAAACAGAGGTGTTTAATTCCTGACTCAGCAGTGAGTTTGTATGAATGAGACTTTCTGCATCAGAGTACCATTTCTCATTGTGGCAGCTAATTTATATTTGACAAACGGCTGACATTTCTGCTGTTGACAAGTTGAAACGACAATATGCCTCACCCTCTAACTGACAGTCTGAGTCATCCTAATGAACTCTTAAGTTTCAAGTTTAGTAATGGAGACGTCTTTATAGATTGAACTGTCTGCATTTATGATGCTTAAGCAAGTCAATAAAATGTCAGCAGAGAAACCAAAACAAATAAATTATAGTTGGTTACACCTGAAAAGCGATGGGATGGGTGATTACGTTTTTATTCAAATATATTATATATATATATCTCAACACACTACCAGCATTGTAAATAACTGAAAACTAAAGTTCACACTGGTAAATCCATATTGCACAATGATAATAACAATGGCTCTATAAATTAAGCTTGGCTCACAAATTGCTATAATTGGCTCGGTTATAATTGGCATCTGTGTCAACACGATTGTTATTGTGCCTTGGCCGTGCACTGAGGTCCGTGCACCTCATTAATGTCATTTGCACAGAGTGACCACAGTGATACATTTCCACTTGGCTGCACAGTGGACATTGCGTCCTTATTTAGCTCAAGGGCCTGCTGCAGCCATATCCAGTCAAGGGTGGCTTTCTGATGCCTCTCAGCAGATATCAGGCTACGAGGCCCAGATCTTGCTGCATAATACGACCACAGTAATGATGCATTATCAGAACCCTGATGTACACACTGCCACAGGCTTTTTGGAGAAGATCAGGAATATTTGTGGAGTTCTGGATCATTTGCATCTGGAAGTGATCATGGGTGGTAGTGCTTGCTCTCCCTTGCAGGTATTGATACAAAGCCTGTCCTACCAAATATTTCTAGCGTTTCAAGTAATGATAATAGACAGCCTGATTTTTGTGAGTAATGTTTGCAATTTCCTTATATTTATGTCCCCAACTCTGTTATTTACCAAAAGGCTGAAAAAAAATGAAAAAAGAAAAGGTGTTAAGACTACAATCCAATAACAAAGGTGTTGGCAGGGGAAAAAAAGCAGCAGGACAAGCTGCGTCATGACACACTCTGGTCTGACTTGCACTAAAGGAGGGCGGCGATTGGCCGAAAAGCAAAGAGAGCTGCTGTTCGTGCTTGCATGGCCTGACCTTTCTCCAGAGCCTCGATCTGCTCCTGTGTGAAGCTGGTCCTGTTCCTCTGCAGCTTCCTCTTGAGCTGCAACCTCAGCTGAGACTCCTCACCTTCGTCCCTCTCCACGGGGACTCCTCCCCTTCTGCCCGCTCCCCCTCCCCCTGCCTCTCCCCCCATGCTGCCCTCCGTGTCGAGTAGACAGCCATCAGACACTGGCAGAGAGGAAGGTGACAAAAAAGATGTGGGAGTGTCAAGAAAATTCCTACCACGGAGCGTCACAGTTTTGAACGACAGAATGTGAGACTTGAACTAACAGGAAGTTGAGCACTTACATGCGTTGAAAATGTCCCCTCACCTGTACTGTGTTGTGTCTGAACGCCGGTGGGGTCATGGTACCAGTTGTTAGGCCCACTCCAGTTCGAGCCGCTCTGCAGGTTCAGCATGGTTAACTTCTCATACATACTCCGAGTGTCCAAACCACCATGAAGAGAAATAAAGAAGTCCTGTCCTGTGCGTGTCCGCCCCTGTTTACTGTCACCTTTGGCTACCTCCTCCAGTCCTTCCTCCTGGAGGGGTGGGGGCCGGCAAAGAGGAGAAGAAGAAGGAGGGGTTCATATCGCATGAGTTCACACATGTTCGGCATTGTGGTGAATTAGCCTCACAATGACAGACAGAAATGGAGTTAGTTACATGTCCGCTGTCGTAATGTGTGTGTGTGTTATACATTCGTATGCTAGTATACCATGGGGAGCGAAGGAACATTAGAACCCACTCTGAAAGCCATGACATTTATTATGCTACTTGCTTTTAGCTCTATCTTTGCTGGTAAGCACGAGCATGCATGCATACATACACGTATGAATTTATATGTAGCCAGAAACTGGCATCATACACACACACACACACACACACACACACACACACAAACACAGCGGCTTTATGAACAAGGTCTCCCATAATATACTCAAACCAAACCCTGTTTTAACTTTCAGCAAAAGACAGAAAAGTGTGTCCATAAACATCATTATCTGCCAAAATAAATATATGTCTAAGTCTGAGATGAATAAAAGCTTTTCTCTTCTACTCCTTACTTTACCCTTCGTTGGAAATGTCCTCTTTGGAGAGACAGACAGAAATGCAAAGGCAGGTGTCGATACTCAGCTAAATCTCACAAGCTACTGCAGCAGCAAGATGTCAAAGGTCAAACTTCATTCATTTGAATCTAGCAGCCCGGAAAAACATGTATTAATCCAGTTAAATTCCAGAAATAATTTTCACGAACAATGTTGGCAGCAAAGTCAATTGTCATCGATCCTCGAAACCTCAACCAAAGTCCATGTTAAAGATATGATCTCAGTACAGAAGGATACACATAAAAAGCACTGAAAAGACTTGTTTTTGGTAACTTACCAAGTGTGCAGGTAAACTGATGCGGGGGTCCTGTGTGCTACTTTTCTCCTCTGTGGACCTTTATTCCCCTGTTGCCCCCACGTCCCTTGTTCTCCAGCTTTGTTGACAATACTGTGAGTGCGTAAAGGAGAGAGTAGGAGAGAGATGGAGAGAGTTAGACAGGGTGAGAGAGAGTGAAAGAGGGAGAGGGGGGGCTCTGGAGAGAAATGCGTCTGCGGGCACTCTTGTCCTCCAAGCGATGGAGGGAGAGAGAGAGAGAGAGAGAGAGAGAGAGAGAGAGAGAGAGAGAGAGAGCCACCGAGGGGTGACAAAGTGAGTCAACATCAGTGTCAAGTTTGAACTTAATGCCAGCGAGAGGAGGAGGGGAGGCCGAGAGAGTAGAGCATAAAGCACAGATAATGGAGAGATAGTAGATGATAAATAGATGATGGAATTCAATTTTAACCATACATTGCACATAAATACTGAGTATAATTGGCAGTCAAGTGTACAAACATACGTGCAACCAGACAACTGAAATATTAAATTAAATTCAATGTTCACACTAGTAAGAACTCTGGATGCTTAAAAGAGATGTTAACAACTTTGATAAAGATTTGACATGTCCACATACATCTGCTATTGTAATTGTACTGCATTGTATTGCTATTGTAAAATTCAGATATTGTATTGTAAAATAGATATTTTAGGCAAGAATAAAAGATTATTGGGAATTATTATGATTATTAGGAAACAACACATTGTTACACATACATTTACAGTAGATGCCACTCAAGTAATTAATAGTTTTATACAGCATAGTAAAATAAATGTATGTAGTAAATTTCTTCGTAACTATAAGTTGTTGTATTAGACTTAACTATACGTTATATTATTGTTTTGTTTTATATTATATCTTTTTAGCCACTAATATGATGACAAACATAAAAAAAAAATCATACACATCATTAAACATTTATGTAATAAAGACATATTTCTAAACAATAACAAGTTGTATGATAAACATCAACGACAAAAAAATCCCGTTACAGTCTGAATCATGATTTATAAAATCATATTAAAACTTCTTTATAAGCAAAGATTTGTTCGGTAAAGATGAGTAATATTCAGCTTACCAATAACTTGTTTAATTGATTTTTTAAATGTGATTTGATGAATTAAATTGATTATGTTAATGTCTAAAGAAACAATATGAAACCTTTTGATTCCCAAGAGTTTTGTCTGATAAATATTAGTAACAACACATTTTCATTTGATTTCCAACTAATTAAAGCAACATCAATAACTAAATTATTTTCAAAATTTGTACATGACAATTTACATATAAAAAAAGCCCAATTCTTATAATGGATGGTGTAATGCAAATATGCTGTTTTACAAAAGCATTTGTTTGTCTTTGACTCTGAGCTGCAATTAATTGTTTACTGATTTATTTCTTGGTAACTGTTTCATTATTTGGCCCGTAAAACATCAAAAAATATTGAAACATTTCACAATTTTCTACAAATTGTGCTTTTTTGTCAATCAGTCAAAGCAGCACGTTCTCCTTTTTGTTTTGTTATTTTTATTTGAAAAATGATTAAAACACTGAACATAGTTGCTCATTCTGTCAATCATCTAATTGATAATTTGACTAATCGTTTCAGCTCTACGTTAAGTAAATCTTTTCCCCCTAATTAGCAATTTGATATAAAACTCACATGAACTGGTTATTTAATCCTTGTACCAGTGTTTTAGGCCTACAGTGGTGTAAAAATTCTGTAAGTGAAGTTACCACAGTTCATTTTTTGGGGGGCTAAAAAATGCAGAGATTGAGTTACAGCTTTTCTTAGAGCACCTGTGTGTTGGTATTGTTCTCTAAAGCTATGGGACAATAAACAAAGGCATTGTCTGGCCCCAGAGCGGGTTAAAGGAGCACCATACAGAAACCCTTGGCAAAAGACAGACAAGGTCTGTGTAAGTAATGACGCAGGTATGACGGTATGTATGGTAGAGTCAAAGAGTGAGAGCAAAGTAGAACCGGGGTTTAAATATATCTCTTTGCAGCGGAAGGGAGAGAAGAAGAGAGCGATGGAAGATGAAAGCAGGGAGGCAGAGGGGAGAGATAGAGAGAGTGAAGAGGAGGTATGTGACTTTGGGGTGGGTGTAGGGGCTTGGGGATGGGGAGGGTGCCAGCTTGTTTTATTTCCGGTTGACAAGACTTTGCGCTCCCTTTCTCTCTGTCGCTCCCTCTCTCTTTCATACTATGCTATTCTTTCTCCGCTGCCCCCATTGCTCTGCCCCTCCACCCCCCCTTCTCTGTTACTTTCCTCCGAGACGTGCCTTGGAGAAAGGAAAGGACTTGACAAGTTCAAAGGTAAAAGGGAGTAAAAACAGTGGTGGAAGAAGCATTCAGATCCTTTGGTTAAGTTAAAGTACCAACATAACACTATGAAGTCCTGCATTCAACACTGTTTTAAGTGAGGGTACATCAAAATGTAGTTTAAGTGTCAAAAACAGTGCTCATTATGCAGAATTACTATATATCCTTAGATCTATTATTGTTATTGATGCATATAGGCAGCATTGTAATGTGTATAGCTGGTCGATGTGGAGCTCATTTAAGCTACTTAATCGGTGGGTAGTTTATTCTATTACAATTCATATTTTACAAGATCATCACATGTTTTGTAAAATCCTAATCTGCAAATTAACCAGTAACTATATCTGTCAAATAAATCTGGTGGAGTAAAACAATACAATATTTGTCTCTAAGAATGAGTGTAGCAGAAGTATAAAGTAGCAGAAAGAATTGGAAATGCTTGGAAGTACCTTAAAATGTTACTTTTGTTGAGTACTTGAGCAAATGTACTTAGACAATGGAAATAAGGACAAAGAAAGAAAGTAAGTGAGGTAAAGTTGAATAACAAAAACTGCTTGATTTAAATATAAACCTAAAAACATGGCATTAACCCGCCACACACCCTTCTCATCCCACCCCATTTTTTTTCTAGCTGGTTACTCTTGCTTTTCCTTTTGAAATCACGTTTGCATCTTATTGTGTTCTACTTGGAATGTGGCTTAACCTATGTGATCTCTATGTGCTGAGTGCAATAACGTGTGTGAGTGTGTGAGTGTGCGAGTGTGTGTGTATGAGAGTGAGAGAGAGAGAGAGAGAGAGAGAGAGAGAGAGACGACGCGTGCTTCACTGCAAAGATTCATGTAGCTCCAGGACATGCATTTTTTTAGTGCATCTTGTTAGTTCATTCCTGTCACCTCTCTCTCTCTCTCTCTCTCTCCCTCTCCCTCTCTCGCCATCCCTTGCTTTTTCAGCGCTGAAGGGGGGATGGGGAAGGGGTGGTGGACAGGGCTGGGACGGGAGGGAAGGGGGGAGGCGGCGACGGTGGAGGCAGTCACCATGGTTACAATGCCACGACAAATATTCATCAAGTCGTTAAAATAAAAACAAACGGGAGTGCATTATAATTGCTCTTACTGACTGGATCCTATAATGCGTTCATATATTATGAGTGAGGGGAGAAGAGTGGAAGGGGCTCGCACACAAAAAGACACTGTTAGTGATAAAAGAAAAGTGAATAGCAGCTGACCTGCAGGCATATGTGACGCACTCACTCGCACACATTTCAACTCTTTGTGTATAACTTTATTTCTCCATTACCTGTTTCTGGAATTCCCTATGAGTACTTTCATGAGTCTCTCTTCTCTTTTCTCTTTGTCCCTCCACCTCTCGTTCTTCCTCTACTGTTGTGTAGCCCCAGGCGATACTGTGATGTGTCCTCCCTCTGTCCCTCCCTCCCTCTCCCTCTCTCTGTCCCTGTCACCTTCAATTGCTCTGTGAAACTAGACACACTGCCTGGGGCGGGGAGGCAGGGAGGGAGGGAGGGATAGAGGGAGGGAGGAAAGAGAGGAGGAAAAAGAGAGACAGCTTTATAGACAGACAGAAGGAATAAACATTTGGCGTCATGTAGGAATAATAGGATAACCACAGCCCAGATGTGTGGCACACTCTAAAAATGACTTACGCGAACATTCAAAATCCAGCTAACAACATAAAACACTCAAATAATTTAGCACAGTAGAAACATGTTATCAATTACATACACACATCTATATAATTTAGGACAGTGTTTGACCTTTGACCTGGGTGTTTTTATATACAGTCTATGGTTTTAGCCTACATTTAATCAGTGTGTCCAGTTAGGATGCTGGTTATATGTGTGTGCTTTATCCCAGTTGCTTGTCACACTGGTTTATACTTTCCTCCAGGAGCTAGGAACATACATACCCTACAAACATACCTAATTACAGTTCTAAAAAATGTTTAATAACAATTAAAGTTTAATAACTGGAGTTAATGTAACCCTATTTGTTATCAAAAACTGATATAAAATCAGAATAATTATAACCTTTAAGATTAGCGTAAATCACATGACCTAGCTGCATGCTTTTATGATTAATGTTGTTTTGGGGGTTTTGGGGCACAAATTGCTTACATCTTGATTGAAATTGGCAATTGTCATGTGGGTTAAAAAAAAAACACATTATTAGATTAAACTGAATGTTTGCATTTGAAGAGGTTCATTTAAATACCTAAAACACAGAGTTGATCTTTAAAACGTAGATTAAGGTTTACCAAAATAAATATCTGCTATTGTAAAATATTGCATTCAGCTATTTCATGTAGAATGAGTTTTAGGTAAAGATAAATGATAGTATTAGCTTTAACAACACATAGGCATATTTCTGTCTGACAGGGCTACTGATATGATAACATTTAGATACAATGTGTAGCCTAATGTGTAAATCATAGCATTTTATACATCACAGCAAAAATATAGGCTAATCCATTAAATGTGTAACACATCCCACATAGCATAAATGGGAGTAAGTTAGCCTACAAAATAATGCTACAATGAAACATAAACACAGTTAGCCATGTACAGTAGGCTAGTAGTGGGTATCAAACCTATGGACTAACTGGAGATTATTACTTACAAATGTGTTGGATTGAGACCTGTATAAAGGTTTGTACAAAATACGAAAAAGAAAAAAACATTATGACACCTGGATGGAACAGTAAGAAAAGCCATTTTATTCAGCAAAAACAAGCAGAACACATTACCTGTTACCAAAGCAGGAGTAGAATCTAATTGGTCCGCGGTTACATTCCTTTATCTTCATTGGCTCAGGTGGATTAGGAGGGCGGAACAAGAGTTTCGATTGGATGTAGCACACAATTACCCAGCTGTTTGTGATCAGATCTTTTACTTACCTGAAACCTTGCTCAGGAATCTGGTTCCGTTAATGGATTTTATCGACGGTAAAACGCTGGGAGAGATGATTTTAACAAAGGAGTAACTTTTTTTATTTCACTGCTCGAGTTTTAATCAGACAATAACTGAAGAAGAGGGAAAGTAGATGTAGCTTACTATTGTAGAACAATAGCCTAATTACATTTTTGTGGCTTATCTTTGAGAGGCCGAATTGCTGCTTCAATAAGAGTTTCTTTATTGCCGCGAAACCTCGCAAAATGTCGCCGAAATTACAGTTTCCTGCCATTTTTTGGTGCGTATCAGGTGAGTTTCAAGCCGTCATATAACCCCCCCCCCCCCCCCCGCCAAGTCGCCATGTCCGTGTGTTTCTTTGTCTACCTGTAAAACTCAATATGCGTACTCCAGCTAGCTAATCCAGTAAAACTGAAATGTTGTGTCACACTGTAAAAAGTCCAATTGCCTTGTCAGTAATGTAACTTTTGTTTACCTTTAGGTATTTTGGCTGCTTACGCCCAAGAATGCGGCCGACCACCGTTACTGGAGAGCAGGATTGTGGGAGGAAAGGACGCCTCAAATGGGGCTTGGCCGTGGCAGGTGGATATACAGGTAGGTCCCTCTTCAGCCATGGCATCTAATCAGGGGACCTGCTAGAACCCAATTGCATATGTTCCGATTATATTTCTTTTTGCCCTAGAAGTTGTAGGCCTATGGGGCTATTATTGTAGCAGAAAGATTTACAAATGTGAGTGGAGAGTTGTGGAACTGTGGGTTAATAGTACACAGAATTGTGAATGTGTAAAATTGTCATACTTACTGAGATTTGTGAATGTGTGCGAAAGTGTGTTCAGAATCTGTGTGCCTCAGATTTGTAAATGTGTTATTAAAAAACTCCAAACCTGTGTTCAGATATGCAAGTGTATTGAAATGAGCTAATGTGTAGTCTGAAGACGTGTACATAAATAGTAACGGCTGAAAAGTACTCATTTAGAACAGTTAGAACTCAGGTGCTCTCAATTGGCTTTCACTTTTGAATTTCTGCCCAGGCAGAGCTCTGCAAATCAGTTTTTTCTCTACTTCTCCTAAATTATTGTAACCAAATGTTGCATGTGCTTCTCTGAATACAAAAAGTTTATATCTTGTCATTGGCTGAAGGACATGTATGGAATGCGGATTGTACTATCTAGGGTCATGAATCATTTGATGCATAAAATTTGGTAATGATTGATTTTAAATGGGCATGGCTTATCACAACAACATTGACATATCACAATGCCAGGAGACAAGTTTGCTTTGTGTGTTTTTTCCTGAGAGTAGAAAGCAGAATGCAGGCCTGTGACAATGTTGCTGTGTGTAGCCCATAGACTGCATAAAAATAAATGTGTAGCTGTGGTGTCTCTGGTTAACAGTGCTGTGCTGGGCAGGTGACAGGTGTGTTTATGGAACCTCGGGCTCCTGAGTGTCTGCTCGTGAATGATGTCACAGCTGACAGACTGTTAGCTTAGCATGCCTATACTACATAAACATATGAATGAGACATTAATGGACATCCGCAGATGAAAACAAGATGTAAGGGTCGTTCCGGAAAAGGGGCAAAAATTTGCTTGTCCACTCAAGTGTTGTTTACATTTGTCATGCATTCGTCTGTGCTGAACAGGGTTAGTAGGTTTTTTGTCCAGTGTGAAGGGTGCTCATGAGAGCTAAGAAAAAATAATTCAGCGCATCCACTGATGTGACATAACTCACTGACACACTTCACATGTACAGTACTGTGCACATAGGTTTTAGGCAGGTGTGGAAAATGCTCCAAAGTAAGAATGCTTTCAAAAAATAGACATGTATTGTAGTATATGGGAGATTATATTTATCAATTAGCAAAATATAAAGTGAGTGGAAGGAAAAAAAAAAATCAGGTAGGTACACACGAACAATGTTTATGAAGCAACTCGACAGGTAGGTTGGCCCAAACATTTTGGAGAACAGCCTACAGTTCTTCTGTGGCCATACCATCAGTTCCAAGACTCCTTGCTCTGAAGATGATTCTTAATGACTTGCGCTCTGTGTTTGAGGTCATCATGCTGCAGAATACATTTGGGGCAATCAGATGCCTGCCTGAAGGTACTGCATGAGTATGATTAAGTATCTTCCTGTACTTATCAGCATTGAGAAGACCAGTAATTCTGACCAAACCCCAAACTCCGTCTGCAGAAAAGCAACCCCACAATTGCAAGGAACCTCCACTATGCTTCACTGTTGCCTGCAGACACTAATTCTTGCACTTGCTGCCATTTTCTGCGTCCCAGTTCCTATGTTTCTATGCATAGTTGAGTCACTTGGCTTTGTTTCCATGTTAGAGGTATGGCTTGTTTGCCACAAGTCTTCATGACAGCCACTTCTGACCAGACTTCTACAGACAGTACATGTGTGCACCAGGGTCCCACTGCTGGACATCTTCCAGTTGCGAAGGGAAGTATGCATGATGTGTCTTTCATCTGCTGCAGGAAGTTTCTTTGGTAGACCATTGTGTCTACGGTCTTCAACGTTTGCAGTTTCTTTGTGCTGCTTCAAAAGAGCTTGGATAGCCCATCTGAAAACCCCTGTCTGCCTTGACATTTCTGCCTGAGGGACACCTTGCTTATGCAGTAACTACCTTGTGTCTTGTTGCTGTCACGATGTTAAGTCTTTATGAGCAAGGCAAAACGACGCAAATTCAGACTCATTCCGGTCTCAACAAAATAAGGGAGAAGTCGTGCAACTTGGGAGATGAGACAGAGGATGACAAAACTATCAATCGACGTTGCTCCTGCACTGCCGGGTATGTGTCCCATTTTCCTTTTCTGGGATCAGTACAGTACACCATGTACGTCCATGTATATCAAATAAATAAGTTACTCAGGGGCGGCATGTTCTGGCTAGTGGTAATTCGCTGCAAAAATATGTCTGCAACCAACCGATCCCTCAATTTCCAAATGTCATTATTCTCCTTGCTGTTGAGGTCAGTATAACGAAGTAAAGCCACCAAATGCAAAGCACTGACTATTGCACATGACTGCATTCACCCCCTCAACCCCCTTCTTCATACTGCTTCCAGCTGGATGCAGATACAGGTCCGCTACAGTAGAAGCTTTGTGCCCTCTGCCATTGCCAGAATGTTGACAGAGGTTCAGCCGGGTACCAGGCTTGCTCAACTGTTACTGGAGAACAGAGCAAAAATTGGCACGACTTAGGATTGGTCAATTACAGGAGTTTCCTGGAATAAAAAAACAAGCAGGAAGGAGATGGCCATGAAATGCGGGAACTTTGTGGTCGACTGATACGGGTATTTTTTTGATAGCCATTGCCAACATTTAGAAAGCAGGGTGGCTAATAGCCGATTTTATATAATGCCAATATCAAAACAAACAAGTCGTGTATAATTACATTATTCCATGCAGAGTACAATCTAATGGACATGGTTATCTCAGCCAGTAACATAATGTATGTGGGTGGATTTTTCTATTAATGAGAGAGAGAGAGAGAGAGAATTTCTTCCAAATTATTTGGTAGAATTATGTTACCAAACAACAAATGTAGGTCGAAGAATGAGATGCCATCCCACAGCAGTGTGTGACCAGGCTGTTGAGCAGCATGAGGATATGCCAGGCTGTTATGGCTGTATGTGGTTCTTCCATATACGACTGACGCTCCTGTTTGTTAAATGAAGAAATTGTTGCCAATTGCCAATACGTCTTGTTTCTGCAGACGTCAATCATCCAATCCACCAAACAAGAGTCAACCTCAAAGAAAAGCTGTTGGGCATTGTCAGAAGATTTGGCAAATTTCTCATGGGTGCAACCCGCATACTCAACTCTGCTGCTCACAAATGCATGTTCCATACAAATGTGGCACCATTTAAAAGGGATGGAAACAGGCTTGCAGTGGCAGAAGTAGAAGAAGTCATTTCCAAGAAGCATTGTTAAATCTACCAAAAACTTTTTGTGCGTAGTTTAACACTAGCCAGTAATGGTTTTAGTTTAGATATTTCATATAATTTAGGATGAGATCGGCGTCATGAGTGCAGGTATCAGCCAATGAAGTTTATCGCAGATTCTGCGAGATGTCAAATTGATATGTGTAATGGAACTTTCCCTACGTGAGTCCTCTGATGTAAAGAATTCAATCCTGACGTCTTTAAGGATTTAAAAAGGGTCAGACAAACATACAGAGTGCTAGCTGTCTGCAGAGTGTAAGACAAAGAGCCAGTGAAGAACAAGGTGACTTTATAGTCTGTTATTACGCAGCTGTGTTCGGGAGGAAGGGAGTAGAAACCAACTGCCCTAAGATGAAGGACCCTTTGTTTCTTATCAAGGACGGTTGGATAAGAAAACCTCTAACAAGCTACTTTCCCATGAAATTTGTTTTCACCTAGCTTCAATATATTAAAGCAATAATACCACACAGTGAAATATAGGCCTATAATAGTACTGCATATAAAGGTAAAACAGTTTAAAAACTGCATTTATCACACAAACGATAAATAAAAACATAACTAATTTGAGTGAACATTTGGAGTGGTGTATCAGCATTAACTTATGTTCATCTTTATTGAAGTCAGAACTTACAATAATCATTACAATTTCACTGTAAGTCCTAGAGAATTGAACTGTATTTCAGCACATCCACTGAGGTGACAAAGGTTTGCCCTACTGCAATCTATGGTCAATTCAGAAGTTTGTCACTTTTTTTTCCAAAATATGGGAAATCAATTAACATATCTGCTAAAATTGCCACAGACATTCTTTATCACATGTTAGGAATGGTGTTCAGATCCGTTAAAAGATGAGTTCAGTGTCAAACTGATTTGGTACTGTATGCACATTTTCTGTTTTTTCTCAGTGTTTGATCAAACGTGACCCAAGCATTTGACAATTGAAAATATGCTTCTTTTGTCAAGCATCCAAATGCTGTTATCTGCTTGGACCCAATCATTGCCACTTGCAGCAATATTCTTATTTTAGTATCAGTTCTGCCTGTGGGTAGTTACGTGTGGTTTAGTCTAGGTCTTGTTTATCAAAGCTGACCTGCTGAGAGAGGGGTTTGTCTGTGATGCTGAGGTGACTCACTGTATTTTTTTGGGGGGGGGGTTCTCTCTGCTTCCAGACATCCGCTGATGGTCATATCTGTGGTGGCTCCATCATCGCAGAGACCTGGATCCTATCAGCCGCTCATTGTTTCCCCAAGTAAGAAAATTCTACTCAGACAAATATCAGCAGGTGAACTCGTAGCTCAGCACCGGCCCACAGGCATTCTGTTTCTTTTGTGAGCCGTCTTAGCTATTTTATTGAATGACCTGTGTGTGTGTGTGTGTGTCCGTCCTCCTTTGGCTGTTCAGGAAACCTACCTCCATCATATTTAACAACTAATTGACTCTGCTTATAAAAAATGTTCCCTTTTTTGCCTACAGGTAAACCCTTTCAAAATAATTTCCCCCAGAATATAGTAAACATCAAGCTCAAGGAGCACCTACTTGTCATTGAGTCTTTGAGTACCTTTTGCCACTATAAAATGCAACAGTGTCAATTTCCAGTCTAGCAAGTTTAATTTGGTGTCGATCTGTCTTCTTACAGTCCGTCCGACTTGAGCTCTTACACTGTCTATGCTGGTCGGTATCAGCTGAATGGCGTCAACAGGGACCAGTCAGTGCATGGTTTGAGTCAGGTGGTTATTCCTTCCGGTTTCGCAGATCCTCAGACTGGGAAGGATTTAGCGTTGGCTCAGCTGTCCAGCCCAGTAACCTGGTCAGATTACATCCAACCCATCTGCTTGCCTGCCTCTGGCAACCTGTTCCCAGATGGCATGCTGTGCTCTGTCACCGGCTGGGGGGACATTCGGGATGGTGGTAAGGCTTGCTAAATTCTTCATATCATTGTTAGAATGTGTGCAGATAATTTTTTATTCAGCAGGTAAATGTTTACAAAAAGATTACATTTATGTAAAAGATTGAAAGGAATAAAAAAAATAAATTAAAAAATAACTCAACCTCAACTGCTTTTTGTTATGCTCTTTGTTGCTCTTTCAACATAAGCAGTGATTACAGGTGCCAAGTGTAGGTCCAGGTGTCAAAAGTGAACACTTTACTTTCTCTTTGCTGTTGTAATTTACACTTTTTCTTCAGCAGTGCGTGGGTTATAAAAGCCCGTCTCTTACAAGGCAGTAATATCCAGAAATAATTATAGCTGGGTTATAATTAAATATTTCAGTGGAATCATATAGAGAAATGAACACTGTTATTAAATGTTTTAATGAATCATTCCAATGAAGTTTGTTTTACACATGTGAGAAGTTTTGCCTTATGTGTGGCAGTGGAACACACTTAATTGCGCTTAATATCGGTTTGTAAGTTTACATGTATTATAGCACACATTTCAATATAGTTATATATTCATGTTATTAATTATAGTATTACAATATTAATTTTTAACCCTATAGTCCAACCATAAAATAAAATCCCCCCACACAGATGTGGATATTTTTGAATAGTGATTGGCAATATTTTCAATATCAATATGTCCAGCAGAGGACTTATTTACTGACAGATCTGCACCTAAAATGATTCAATTCAGTAAAAATTTATTTAACTCTAAAAGGGCCATTGAATGCAACAGCTTGCCTCAGATACACACAAAATAGAAGAAAGAAAAATGGCTAATCACTAAACTAAAAATAACAAGACTCTTCGTCACAGTATCATGAAATCGTGATCATGAAATAATTTGTATGGTGAGCGGATGCCGGCTTGGTTTGGTTTTCTTATTAAACAGTGTTTGCATATTTGCAAAAGTATGCACAAAACACAATACAAGACCACAGATTGAACAGAGCTGGTTGTGTCTACCCAAAGAAACTACAAAAAGCAATAAAAGAATGGAGAATGACATAGCACAAAACACAGGCTAGATGTTTGTTTAAATGTTCACAATTGAAGCTTTACGCTGGAGAAAAATACTAAAAATGAACACATCTTTTGACCCATACTGGATAGTAAAGCAAATAAAGCTTATACTGGACACTTGTTTAGTTGCAAAGAGGAAAAAGTCTCGGTCCTTTTTGTTCTTCCTCAATCTGTCGTATTGCTCCCCTCAGTCCCTCTGTCCGGACTTGGGACTCTGCAGGAAGTGCAGGTGCCAATCATCTCTCAGAGTTCATGTCAGGAGATGTACCAGACAGACCCCACAGACCAGGTGGACATCCTGGATGACATGATGTGCGCTGGATACCAGCGGGGTGGCAAGGACTCCTGCCAGGTACTGTTGGATCAGCTGTTTGTGCTGCTGTGTTTACAATTCACAAATACATGCTTGTATACACGAGCAAAGACAAGAACTTTGTAAGCCCTTCCTTTTTGAGCACTTCAATACCTCCCAGTGGTGAAAGCTGAATGATTCTGTGTTTGTCTTTTCAGGGTGATTCAGGAGGGCCCCTTGTCTGTCAGATAAATGGGACCTGGGTGCAGGCTGGGGTGGTGAGTTTTGGACTGGGCTGTGCTCAGTCAAACAAGCCAGGTGTGTATGTCAGACTGACCAGCTACACAAGCTTCATCCGCAGCACGGTACTGGACATCCAGCTGTATGGTCGAGCTAACCAGAACTGGTGTGGGACGGCTGCCATGTTGGTCAGCTGTCTGTCCACTCTACTGATCCTGCATCAGAGATGAGACACTTTCGAAAACTGGATTTCTGGGAGGCAAAACTCAAACCAGGTCAAATGAAGGATATTAATTATGTCTGATTTTAAGTCCAAAGTTGTCCTGAATAGTAAAACTAGAAAAACTGCACCTGACATGCACATGAAGCCATATTGAAGATGATATGTAATATCTTCTACATTTTTAGAACTTTAATTCTACATTATCTGCGATTCAAATTAGTTTTGAGTTTTGGTTTGTATTCCATCAGAATCATGAGCTAAATGTTTTCTGTATCTGAAATAAATTAATTTTTCTTAAAACCAGGTCAGTGCTGTGTTAAACTTCTGATAGCTGAGTTTGGAAATGTGTAATCTGATTTTATTTCAGAGCTTCAGTTGTGTTAATTCAAAGCCTTCTTCAATCTTTTATATTCACCTAATACACCCACTCAAGTGTAAATACCAAAATGGTTTTATTTTGAAATAAACCCATTTTTGGAACAAATGTTACTTATCAGTACACATTTCAGAAATGCAAATGATCATTTTAATAGTTTCTTTTAAAATCCATTAAGGTGATTTACTGTAGTTAATTAAATACATCCAGAGACAGGTGATGACAGTTCTTTATTATAAACTGAGCTCAACAAGTCAATGGTAAAGACCACTTCGTACTGCCTACTCAAAAAGCTAGCTCTTAAATTAAAGTCTTCACTTGAAGTTTCCATGCAAAAAGAAATCTAACATTTACACAAATCCAAGTGTTGTCTCTGAAAAGAGAAAGTCAGGCATCAGGGGGAATGGTGTCAGAGAGGATCATGGGAGAGCCGAGCTGCAACTCCTGCTGCAGTGATTCCAGATCGGCTGGAGTCATACGGTGGACCTCGCTCCAATCAGACAAGAGTGAGGCCGATAGGGGGGCAGAGTCGTAACTGATGGAAGAGAAATGTAGAAGGCATCTTTGAGCATACAAAAATACTTCTACAACAGAACAGTACCAATACATGTACCCCATGTCTGCAGTCCACTTGGCAGTATTTAACTCAAATGTCTGATGTCTCTGGTATGTCTTTATATATACACACACATTTTTCACTTGGCAATTTATAGACAAAAATAATCAAGAATAGAATTCAGAGTAACGGATAATGAAAATAAGCTGCAGCCTGAATACTCTGGGTATTTTAACTATAAAAATTCATAATGTAAAGGCCCATGGTATAAGTGTAATTAAACACTTGAAGGTGTATTGTGAGCCAAGTGACTTTGTTCATGAGCCTACAGTTTGTTTCTCCTTTCTGTACCCTGCAACAGCAACAAAGAGGGAATTTGTTAGATATTCACTTGTCTACCTGAGACTGCTGCAGCATCATATTAGAATCCATCTTAGCACAGAACGGGGACTGGATTTTGTCCCCTTTCTTACACTAAAGTTTCTTTAAGGGATGTCTTTGTGGACATTATGGATAGGAGGAAGCAACCCTATCCTTTGACTTCACTTCCTCCATCATGATTCTAGTGAAAACATCACAAATATGAGAGGGATGTAAGGTCTAATAAAATTCTCAAACATAATTCCTAAACTGCTAGACAGCTGCAGATAATACTGATATGAATGGGTAAACTCATCCCTTCCCCTCCAGTATCAGACATTGGTTTTGTTTGGGGACCCCACCCAGCGATCTCTCACTGTATTTGACCTTACCTGTCCCGGTCACAGTTTTGCAGGTCTGTGAGAGACTGGTTGAGAAGGTCATCCAGATCAAAGCCCACGCCATACCCTGCCCCACTGCCTTTAGGGGTGACCGAGAACACAGGTGGTAAAACGTCCTCTACCTGACAGGAGAAAAAGAAAACATTGGGTCAGCTGAACTTTAAGTCGTTCAGATCAGTTCAAGGCAAACAGAAGATCGTGACATTTAAGCCTAGTGTATATGTACAAGAAAATTAGGTTTCTATCACATCTATACTGAAAGCAATATCAGCGCTGTGTTATACACTGTGTTGGGTAAAATGCTACCTGCAAATGCAGAAGAAGAAATCTGAGACACACCTGGGACTTTGAGAGCTGCAGTGTTACTGTATGGATGTCCGGGGCAATGGAGGGCCCTTGCTGTCCAGTATCTGTGAATCCTAAGCTGGGATGAGGCTGTGAGGGGACCCCTAAAGCCCCACAGACAGGGTTTGTACACTGAGGCCCTGATTTCTCTCCTACAGAGGGACACAGCTTCTCCATCGGACCAGCGTTTGTAGTCGAGGGATTTGGATGGGAGTTGAGGTTATTTTGGCCTCTGATATCCACACTCCCATTTGTCTCTCTGCTGGTTAGTGTTGGAGCTTTAGTCAAAAAACTCTCCAGAGGAAGTAGATGGGACTGAGGTTGAGGGTCAGGCTGGGTTTGAGACTGAGGTTGGAGCTGGGGCTGAAGAAAGCCCGACGGAGGAGGCTGCGGTTTCCTGTTTGGTTGTGGTGGCCTCGTCTCTAATTGCTGCCCACTCCAATTCCCCAAACAGTTGAAACCACTTTGTCCATTGCTCTCACTGTGAGGCTTGAGTGTGGTGTTCTTCACAAAGCTACTTATATCCATCCCTCCGCTTACAGCGACAACTATATCCGCTGGAGGCTTCCTCTGGCTCATGGAGAAAAGTAATGATGGTTGCTGAGTGCTGGAAGGCTGAAACATGGCCGGCTGGTTGGGTTTTACTTGAGAGATTAACTGTTCATGAGATTGAATCTTCCTTCCCTCGTCTGTTTTATTGTTCAGTGCTCCTTGAGTGTTATCACCGGCCGCTACACCCTGGTGCAAGTTCACATTACAATCCTTATTCTTTGCTCCATCGTTGTTGGGAGTCTGAGATTTCTCATTGCGCCTGTCCATCATCTTTGTCCAGCGCTGCAAAAGGCTTTTGTCGTTGTCACTCAGCAGGACCCCACCCAGCGAGTCCCCCTGTCTTCCCTCTCTTCTCTCCTTTTCCTTCATTTTCCTCTCCTTCTCTCTTGCCCGTTCCTGCCTCTTTCTTCTTTTCTCCTCTCTTTCACGCTGACGCTCCTGGGCTGTGACAGGCCGACGCGACTCTGGAACAGAAGACTGGGCGGACAGTACTGCACCTCCTGCAACAGCGTCAATGCCCAGAGCAGAGTTACCTCCATCTGCAATAAAGATATCAAATTCAGATGAAGGTAGTCTAAAAATGTCAGTGATAGATGCAGATGTGGAAAACAATGAACTTACCACCCCTGGCTTTATTTCTGAGAGCTGATTTCAATAAAGCAGCTTTAAGTGCATTTTTAGTGTCCTCTGAAATAGCTCCTTCTTTTCTGGCCCCCTCTCCTGCACTTGGAGGAGGCCTGGCATTCTTGGACAGTGACTGTGAAAGGGACTGAGACAGAGACTGGGCCTGTGCCACAGAAAGAGAAAGGGAAGGCACAGTGGTGGGTAGGGATGTTGTGGCCTGTGCTGGCGTTGCAGGAATGGAGGTGGGAGCCTGGGTCATGGACTGGCTCTGGGTGGGCTGAGTCAGAGGAGTCTGACTTTGGGTTAGCTGCTCCTGTACCTCACTGTCTCTCATTGTTTCTGATTGAGTGTCCTGACTAGAGACTGGTGTTGTTAAATCTATAGTCTCTGGCTCACCGTTGTCTGAGTTGGCACTGGGCATGTCCACATCAACTGGGCCACTTTCGCTTTTAGAGAGGAGAGGCAAATTATGGGTCACATGAGACGGGGTGACTTCTAAAAGGGGTGCAGGCTCATTAAAGGTTTGTATCCGATTTGTAAATGTATGGTTCACTTCTGCTGGTGTGTGCTCTTGTTGCTGTTGGGATTTTGCTTCCCTCATTTGCTGTTGCTGAATCTGTGCTGCTTGTGGGTGTTGTGCCATTGGAACCAGTGTTGATTTGCTCATGTTAACAGTCGAGGGCTGAGCATTACACTGGATACTGCTTTGTGCGGCAGCTCTGCCATTCTCCCTTGCCAAGGGCCTGAACTGCAGTCTCTGACGACAGCCCTGTTTGTTCAGATGAAAGTCCTGGATCTCCATCAGAATCGCCTCTTTAATTTGTTCCTTGTTCATTGGAAGTTTGTCAAACTCAAAGTCAAAAGCTGGCACACAAATTGGCTCATCATCTGGGTCGTGGTACTTGGACAGGTAAGGATGCTCCAGCGCTTGTGTTACACTGATTCTCTCGCGAGGGTCAAAGCGCAACATGGCCACCAGCAGGTCCAAAGCCTCTTGTTCAGCTTGTGGGTACAGTTTGGCCAAAGGCACAGCGGTCCGTGATGGAAGACTCTGAACATAGGAGCGTACTCTGTCAGCCCTAATAGCACCAATCAGCCCCTCAGGAGGGGTGCCTAACACAGACAAAATGAGCTGGAGCTGGTGGACGTAGTGCTTTCCAGGAAAAAGCTGCTTGCGCCCCAACATCTCCGCAAAGATGCAGCCCACAGACCACAAGTCAATGGCCAAACTATAGTGATTCAGAGACAGCAGGAGTTCAGGAGCACGGTACCATCGAGTCGCCACATATTCAGTCATGAAGGAATGAGACTCCTCAGGGTGTGAACTTAGACCCCTCGCCATGCCGAAGTCACCAATTTTTAGCTCACAGTTCTCGTTCACCAACAGGTTGGAGGGTTTGAGGTCACGGTGGATGACGTTGGCAGAGTGCACATACTTAAGGCCACGGAGGAGCTGGTACAAGAAGTAGCGCGTGTGCTCTGAGGTGAGTGTCTGGGCAGAGTGTATGATCTGGTGCAAGTCACTCTCCATAAGGTCCAGCACCACGTACCTGCACACATGGGAAGTGGAAAAGCGAAATGAGCTCAGGATAGTTTGACAATATGCCCACTTCTCAATCAGACCTGAAGTCACCTTGATGTCCTGACTACAGGAAGTGAACTGTGACCATGTGGAAAGAATATCCTATTATTCTGGTGGATTGTCCTCAAAGACACTGTATGCGTTCCAAAACACAGACTGACCTCAAAAGGCTTACCCAATACTTGTGAAACTCAATATTTCTATAGACTTTTCTAGCCTGAGGAGGAAACATGTGAAGTACATACACAGACTTGAAGGCAGCGTGGGGAAGGTTAGGCTGCAGGATGTCTTTGATGGCAATAATGTTGTCATGTTTGAAGTGCTTAAGAATCTTCAGCTCTCGTAGGGTGCGTTTGGCATTTGTCACCACTTCAAAAGCATTGGAGATTTTCTTTATTGCCACCTGCTGGCCTGTGAAATGCAAATAACATAATGCATAAGGTCAGGGTGTACACCTGTGTTTAAATGACAGTGATGATGAGTTTCCACATTTGACATTGAGCACAC